CCACTAAGTCGGGCAGCGTAGACAGGGGCTGAAGGGACGGTGCTGCCTGGTGCCATGAGACTGTCGTAGTCTGTATTGGCCGATTTCACGGCGGTCTTGGTAGTCAAGAGCACCTTAGAGACATTTTGGTGGGGCGTGACGAGAGGCGTTAATTCTGCTGGAAGTGACGAAGCCGAGCCGAAGATGGAACCGCCAAGTCCAGCCTTCGTGGTACCACGAGCCTTGTCAAGATCTGTACAATGTCAATATATAAGTCATCTTTAAGGGACGACTTTGCGGCATCGCTCACCATGAATTCGGCCTTCAACGGCTTGCTGGATGGGTCCTTCGAAGACACCACGTTCCCTCCAAACATCGACCACCCTACGGATTCGCTGTTGGACATCTTGAGGTGCGCCCTTGTAAGCGACGGCGACAGCCTCGGCGACAGCAGGCGAAAACGAGACAAGAAACTCGCCCTTGCGACGGGCCTTGGATTGCTGCGCTACTTCTGCAATGAGGTGTGAGTAACGGTTACTTGCACGTGGGTCTAAGTTGCTTTTGAGGCTTACCATTTGCGAGGTAGATGAGGTTCAAGCGCTTGTGACTTGTTGAATCCTTTAGTTTCTGCAGCCAGAGTTGAACAGTACGGTCTGCATGACGCCTAGTAACAAACAGTCAGCACGCTAGGACAAACGATGAACAGGACAAAGCAGATTGTAGCTACAGCCGAGAGCACGCTGGGATTGCTATACCTATGAAACATAATCCATTGGGCTACGCTAACGATGCTGTCTTGCGTCTCGGATAGAGATGAGAGCTTGGCAAGCACCGCATCATCGTTATACGCCATGGCGAATGATGGGTGTTGGAGTTGCTGAAAAAAAAATCGACTGTCCTGTCCTCTTGATGTAAAGAGGCCGTATACCGTTGCCTGCACCGCTCTTCAGCAGTTTGGGTACTGAGTTTGTTTGTTTAGGCGGGAGGGTTTATATTTCAGACAATCAACAACAATCTACGAGTGGGATCGCAGATGCTCAATCAAGTTGAACCAGGCAGCGCGAAGCAGATGGCTGATTGGTGGCTGACTCTAGCTACTGTGAATTGCCCTCTCCACTAAGGTGTCCTCCAAAGTACTGTATACGAAGAGACAAGGTTGATGTTGGTGTGTGATGATCCTCCAAACAGCTCATGAACCTATTGTCTAGTGAAAGGGGACTAAGGTTTTGGTGTCTAGAATAATAGCAAAATCTCCTTATTAGCGAGTTGGTGGTTCGCATCCGATTTATCTGGACAATGTTAGGAGGAGGCTGTTGTAATAGGTGGTAGCCTACTGATAGTGGTAGATGTTTATGTGATGCTTTGGGAAAATGAATAGTAAACAACCAGCTGCTGAAGTTTAGAGACGTTAAAGCTAATGGGTGCACGTGATGATTAGCTAGGTATTGTACCTAAGTAACACGACGCAGCGTACAGGGGAGGTAGTTCGGCTGCGTTTCCCTGGCATCCTCACTGTGTTTGTGATATAAACACTGTGCATTACATTGACCTCCCAGGTATCTAGGTACCTACCTACTGGTTAAATGCATCTATTAGGACGTTGGTCTTCCTAATTATCAAATAATCATCAAATTCGACTATTACCGATTCTTCCAACTCACACCCGCCTACGAGGTCCATTGCGACGCGAACACTAGAGGTCTACATATCGCCGACGCTCTTTGTCTTCTCCTTCACCCGCCTATTGTGACACTTGCCAATTCCCGATCTCGATATGGCGGACCGATTCCCGTCTCTAGACGACTTCGACTCGAGTGGTAGGTTTTCATGACGGCATGGCATAACAAGAGGCACTCTACTCACATATTCTATGCGTAGCCCAAACCGAGATTAAGGATGTCGGCTCATCATCTGCCGACGACTTTCTAGCCCGCGAACGAGCTCTCCTTGGCGATGATGCGACCCAGTTCACTACCGGCAACGAGTCCGCCGCCCTAGCCGACCCTTCAGATGATCTACTCGGAGGCGACAATTCCGTCCGCGATGCACAGTTCGAGAGCCAGTTTCCTGATCTCGCCTCCAACGAGGTACGTTGGGATGTTCACTTTAAGAAGCCTTGTTTCTAACCGCTTTATTTAGCACGTCGGGCCCGGAGGTAGCATCACTGGTCCTTCTGTGAGCTACAACTCTGGCTATGGCGCCTACGTAGAGGAGGAGCAAGAGCCAGAGGTCATTAGGAAATGGCGCGAGAATCGTGATGCCGCCAACGCCAAGCGAGCGGAGGAGTTCGAGGCTCTAAAAGCTGAGACGATCAAGGAAGCTCAAGAAAATATCGACGAGTTCTACGAGAACTACAACAACAAGAAGGACAAGACGATTGCTCAGACACGCAAAGACGAAGAACAGTTCCTCGCCAGCCGAGACGACACAACATCCGGGGGCACGAGCTGGGAACGCATCGCCAAGCTGGTGGATGTGAGCGGCAAGGGGCCGACAGGCGGCGCCAGCGGTTCAGGAAAAGAGCGGTTCCGCGAGCTATTGATGACTCTACGAAAGGACGAGAAGGCCCCCGGCGCCGAAGGATACTAAACGTGGCTCCTACTAGATTGCACATATACACTGGTTGGTCTGGGTGCGCCAGTATATCTTCAACTCATGGTTTCTAAAGACCAGATGCCGAAGATTTCAGCTTGTATTTTAGACGGGTCGCGCCTACGGCAACACCCAACTTGGCAAAATCGTCGGGCCCCTCGTGGCTTTGATGGTGTAATGAGTATCATGGATGATTTGGTCGTAAACAGCAAAAAGAGATAGAAGGGCCTGGTGGTAATATGAATACGTTGCCTGAACGACTCTATTGATCAACCTAATAAAACATTTCGTAGGCGTTTATGCCCAGTTGTATCATACGACCTTCGTCTTTTCTATGCACTGTATTCGCCCTTTAGGCCTTGCCAAACCAAGTGTTGTAGCCCAGGATCTTACGGCCCATCATGTACATGGAGGCTATGTAATGGTCAGAAAAATGGCGTGGTGGGAATCATGCAGGCCGCAACGAACCTCCGAAGGTACCCCAGAGGAGGATTTGGTAGGGAACCATCAGCTTGCTGCTTCGGGGGTTCTGCGTCATATTTAGTCAATCGGAGCGGCTCGGGACTGGCGTAGCTTGGCCACTAGAGGACGGATGGTGGACATACGATCTGCCAGACTCGAGTGTGCTGTTTGTAGGCTTGTTGGTAGAAGCGCTGGTTCTGGGGAACGGGGTTGGGGGCGTCGACGAGACTGCGATGCTCATTAGTATATCCAGTCCAGGCACATCCAAGGCGGCAAGCAAGCTCGACTAGGCGGTTGAGAATCGGCAATTGGCGGGCCAATCGTGGGCGACAGCACACTCGACCTCGTGCGGAGATGTTGGACGTACCCCATTGTGAAGTTTGGCGGCGAGTATATCGACGGCTATAGGAGAGGAGGACGGTGAGGATTAGATAGTTGCGAGCTCTTGTTGAAGCTTGAATCAGAATCAAGGCGTTCGTAGATTGGTTCGGGTCATCCGCGTGGTTCGATTGGACAGCAATAGACAATTGACTGGGCGCCTATTCCTCGGTTAAATACAGGTACTCTGTAACTACATAATCTAGCTGCTATGAGCGTCCGGTACCCCGGTTTCGTCATCGTAGGTACACCAATGACCCACTCTTAGGTTACAGGATGCCAACATTAGGTATTGACCTACCTACCTGTAGGTATGATAGTTCTCTCTTGAGCGTATCATCACGTAGTTAAGTATGACTAATAAATTGATCAATAAAGGCTTAAGATCAAGCCGTACAAGCCCCAGCACAAGCCCAAGAGAGCCAAGGCTAATAAGTAGCAGTCACTAATCAACGATAATAGCGATCAACAACCTTCTTTTCCGATCAATCACGATTGATAATAGACTTGTGAATGATAACAGGAACCAAAGTTTTTGGAGCAAGCGATAGAAAAATCCATATGAATCGTTCCGGAGGGCTATCGCTAACCGCCCCCCGGCTCTAGTCCTAAAAGGCCCGTTCTCCGGTGATTGTCTCACTATGTAGGCCGTGTTTCCAGCCCTGCCGGCCATGGGTTTCCAACGTTGTCATCCTTGATATAGTCGTTAGAGACAACCCTGTTTACGTTGAAGGAGTTGATGTGTGGCGTGTAGCCATGAGAAGATTGGTGCTTTCCCTCCACTACAGTTTTCGTCCCTACAAACACCACGACTTCTAGTGGATAGATCATCTTGTAATACTACATCATCAAAATTATGACACTTGGTTTGTGGCAGCATCGCATCTACAGCGTTCCGGTCGTTCGCAGTCGAGCGCGGCTATATCTCAAACAGTTGTTCTTGGTCGCCGTTACAGTTGTTCTTTCGCACAACTTATACCGGCGAGGCTCCTTTTATCCAAGAACAGCTTATTCAGACAGCATTAAGGAGTCGGAGGGATGATAGACGGGAAGATCTTCCTAAAAGTCAAAGTTAAGAACATCCTAAGCACTAAACGAGGCTGGATAGGGTATTTATGGTATTGTCTGAGAATATGCTTATGAGGGTAGACAAATCGATCATAGGTTTGTTATAAACTACAGTAGAGTGCCCTGCCGTAAAGCTGGCTTGCCCATGTCCAATCAATTTCATACGACTTTGATCTTTCTAACTTGCAAGGTAAGACCGACAGTTAGACAAGTTGCGAGTATAGCCTGGGACTAGATAGATAGCACGGACTTATCATACCAGTAGGTATAGACTTAGGAAAATATTGCTAAGTTTAAACTAAAAAAGATTTATCAGTACAAGCTTGCCCTACAGACTAGCACGTTATTCGGACCAGCACCCCAGTGAACTAGTACGACCTCAAACCAGCACCTTCTCTAGATTAGTATAAATGTGCTTGATACATCGGAAGTTTGCATATTTAACGATGTAGTTACATCAGGGACTATTAAAATCATATAGATCATATAGTCTAATGTATGAAATTGCAAAAAGATACATGTGGTCAGTATGGGGGTCGAACCCATGACCTTCGCATTACTCAATACATCAGTGTTCTGGTGTATTAGTACGACGCTCTAACCAACTGAGCTAACCGACCAGTTGATGGTTAAGAGTTCGACGTTAATTGCCTTTTATCAAGCTTTGCCATTGCTGCGATCGGCTTTAAGTAGCAGACCAATTATGGGCATATATGGTTACCAGTTACGCTGTTGAGATGGATGCTTGGAAACTGTTTTATTTAGCAAGTCTGTGTTGGTTTATGCTTGTCATTTTATATTCTTCGAGGTTTTCGTAGTCCCATGGGAAGATGAATGCGGATGGTTCATTTTTTGCACATTAAGCCTTTTTTTTTGGCCGATTGATGATTTTAAAGCAACAAGTTTGTTTGAAAACCATTATGCTAATAAAGACGCGCTATTTGTCCGATAAAGTCTAGAAAATCTAAAGTTTGAATTTTGCAACAATATTTGTGGTGCATTAAACTTTATCAAATGGCCATCTTCGAGTAAAGCGACCTTATTGTAACGGATAATATGCGTCAGGCGATGGATCACTGCGATGACAGTGCCGTTTTTAAATTTTGAATCGATGACATTTTGTATGATAGCCTCTATTTCGGCGTGATGCTATCATTGAAGCTATAGCACAGGTTCGACGTAGCAATCCAGATCGAGAATGGTTTTTGTACAACAAAGATGGTCGTGGCATTGCTTTAGAGGATTGCTTTACCTACGAAGATGACTTGAGTTGTCTGGATACAGATTCAAGCGGCTTTCCAGCAGTGTACATTTTGTATTTGTAATATAAGAATTCACCTAGTTTGTTGGCGAGTTAAATTATGGCGCGGAGACTGTGCTAATGTATTCAACAGTGATTTTTCTGCCAGCATCGATTGTGTGCGCGATATGTGGCTTGTGATGAATGATATATGTGTTTTTTCGATATACCTGACGTAAAAGGCACGAAGTTTTTGCCTGGACAGGTCTAATTAATAAAGGAGTATTGCACTTAATGAGGTATGAACTGAGGCCAACTTTAGATATGGTAAACACCGAGAAAGCCGATTTACGGTGATGCGGAGAGAGAAACGAAGACGAGGCAAGTCTACTGTTTTGCGAGGGCCGATTGCTGACCGTTTTATTTACATAAGATGTATGTATAAAATCCTGAGTTTCCCCTAAGTAAAAATGGCGTTGCGCCAAGCCTTATACGATAGGTACTTTGAAAAGCGGTAAAACCTAGTACCTACCTAGGTATTTAACGGTAACTTTCCGTGTTCACTAGGTACCCCCGAGATAGGTTTTACTATCTTGAACTAGAATGGGAAGCCAATCTGAGCCACGCCGCTTTTAGCTTAAGCCTGAGCCCTATCTTAAGCAAGACCTGCTTTTTCTTATATAATTTCTAATATTATAACTATATAAAAACAAAATTATAAAACAGATCTTAGTATATATTATAAAATCTGTTTAAGTGATTTGTTTAAGCGACTTTTTAAAAAGTCGCTTAATTCACTTAAGTTATCACGTTTTTATTATTTATTATATTTTTTTTTATTATATTTTTTAGCTTGCTATTTGCTAAATGAAAAAGATTAATAAAAGCGATTAAATTATTTAATCTCTTTTTTTATTTTTTTTTATTTTTTTATACTAGAAGTGCTGTAATAGTATTTTTGCATACTTCTCTCCTTATCGTAAATTGCAAGTCTCGTAATGTTGGCCTCGCTACTCATTATAAACTCAGACTTTTTCGCTAAAGCGGCCTTACTTTTAGCAGCATATAAAAATAGTTAAAATCAAGCTTACTAACCTAGTAAAAAACATATAGGAATATGATTAAGTTACCGACAATACTTAAACAGCTTTTTTTAGTTAAATCTATAGCTACAGCTGTAGTTCCTATGATAATAGTTTAGTTACTGTTGAATAAGCTATAGTACAATATCGCATATAATGAGAGTAAGCAGAATATTCTTATTCGATATTATAAGGTGATAGACGTTGCTACTGCTGATTGGCTTTTTTTCGAGTAGGGATTCCGGCGATGCGGCGTCGTACATATGTACGTTCAACATCCCACTTGGTGACTGCGGCGCGAACAGGCGTACCAAGTACAACATCGCAAACAGCGGCTTTGGCGCGTTTTTTTACAAAAATATGTTGACATAGTTAAAAAGAGCAAAAAATAGCGATTCAGGTGATATAAGCAGGTAGGATTTTTGATGCCTAGCGATAAAGTTATATGTGGACTGAGTTATGAGTGACGTGGTGGGGCGTAGGGGGGTATTCCATCTTACCCCTAACAAAGAAGTTCTCGTTGTATATACTCCCCCTCTGATTGGTAGAAATAAAAATGGGGAGAAGCTTGGGAAAGCAAACAAGACACCACGCCATGTTTCTTCTCTTCCAACCACAGTACATACGAATGAATCCCATCACGACTGACCTCGCATTCTATTGTTGAGATGAACGCTATACGGGAAGATCCTGTGGCTGGTGTCCAAGCTACACTAGCCTGACCCCAACCAAATACATATAGCCTAGTCATTGAGGACAGTGACTTCTGTTATACTCCACCAAGCGACTATTGCCCCTAGTGACCCCAAGCTGATTCTTTTCCTGGAATACTCAACCTTCAGACAAGAAAATACAACCGAATGCCATGCTGTCCCTCATAACTTGACCTCATTTCCACATCTATCAGCATTAAGATTGAGTTGTCAGAATTGAGGCCGCGCGCAGCTTTTGAATGCATCTTCACCAAATCACAAACTTGGCATTTACAACACCATATTAGCCATGTTGCCACATGAGCTCGACCAAAAGTCCTGCGAAAGCCTCGAATCCGAAGCTATTCTGCGCATCACATTATATCATAGGAGAGACTTTGACGCCAAGGTTGTCACAGCAGAACCTGGACAACACGATCACGCTCGTTCGTCCCTGTTCAAGAGTTTTGGCGAATCCGCAAGCTCAGGCCTGGGCCGACTTCAACGTCTCCCGTTTGAGCTTCTTTCATCCATTTGCCTTTTGCTCGACCTTCAGTCTGCCCTGAACTTCAGCCAGGCCAGCCGGAGCGCTCGGGAGACAATTGGGAGCATTCCACAATATCACCGACTCCGCGAACATTCCCTTGAATGCATATGGGCTCTGTCTCGGACAGGTCTTTCGCACCACACTAGCATCTCAGACTTACATGCAGCTCTTCTGACCGAGCTCTGCGTTATTTGTGGCTCGTTTGGCGGGTTCCTTTTCCTTCCCAGCGCAACTCGCTGTTGTTTCGCCTGTATCGAGTCTGCACCAGATTTCCGGATCATCTCATTTCATTCGCTTCAAAAAGAATCACGCAGACTAGCGACGTGGCTCAAAAGATCTCATCCGGTGATACACTCCATCCCTGGGTCATATTCGTCAAACGAAAAGGAGTACACGAGCCGACGAAAACTCGTATCCGGACATCATGCTCTGCAGTTCCCTCGAGCAGACCACGACGAAGACCCCCGGGCCATTCTAGGCAAGCTACCCGATTCTCCAGTCCTGAGATGTATGGCGGCCTGTCGGCTGCCATATTTCAATTTGGCGACTGGCGACTTGCAGTTGGGGATATCTTGCAAGGGCTGTCAGATCGCTATGGAGGCCAACTTCAGCGATGCCAACTTTTCTCGCCGAGAGCGTCTCTATTCACGAGACGGGTTCATGCGTCATTTTTGGGACTGCGTAGAGGCAAAGGAGCTCTGGGCTTCTAGTGAGGGAGGGATGGTTGCGGTCACAGAGCCGGAGTGGACGAGACGTGGAGGATTATGAGATGGATGACGGATAACCGCAAAAACGGGATCTCATGTCACAATAAACATTAAAACAGTTTTTAAAATTATTTTTTATTAATTTTTTATTAATTTAGTTTTATTTATAAAATAAACAAAGTTATTTTTAAATTTATTAAATTTATTAAAAAAATATTTAATAAAATTATTTTTTATATATAAAGTTTTAAATTTTATTTTAAATTTATTAAAAACATTAATATTATAATAATATTTATATAAATATATATTATTTAAATAAAACTATAAATATTTAATTACTTTTTTATTTAAATAAAATTTAATATTTATTATTTTAATAATATTGTTAATAAATTAATTTTTATTAATTATTAAAAAATTTTATATATTATAATATTATATTTTAAATTTTATATTATTTTTATTAAAGTTGTTATAAAAAATAAAAACTAAAATTTTAATTAATTTATAAAGTTTTTTTTTAAATTTAATTTTGTTAATGAGCTATACTATGGTAGTACTGTATATACTGCGTACAGGGGTTACAGGATTGTCAAAACTGGTTAAAAATACTATATTTTATAAGTCTAAGTTTGTAGAAGTTTCGGCTACAGTATAGGCTATATAGGTCTGTGTAAGTTATATGTTATATAGTTGATTAAACTGTATGTTTATAATATTTTAAACTGTAAGCTGTACATATTATAAAATCTATATATATAACTATTGAATTAATATTAACAACTTTTTATATGTTTTGTTTATATATTTTGTTTAATTATTTATTAACATTTATTTGTTTATTATATAAATATTTAAATTTATAAAAAAAACTAAGTATAATTAAAAAGTTAAAAAAGTTAAAAGGTTTTAAAAATTAAAAATTGTTAACAAAGTTTTAAAAAATTTAAAAAGTTTAAAAAGTTTTAAAAAATCGAAAATAGTTAAAAAAGTAAAAATATATAAATAAAATATTTGTTTAAAAAGTTTTTTTTATATAGAAGTGTTAAAATAGCTTTTTTTAATACTGCTGTAAAAAAAAAAAAGTTGTATAAACTGTTTTAAAAACAGTTTTATTTTTTTTAGAAAGTTTTAATTTTATTAGTTAATTATACAGATTGTATAGCTATATTTAGTGCTTTGTACTAAAAAGGGGAAAGGGGAGAGGTTTAAAAGAAAAAGTTAAAAAAAAAAGTCGAGAAAAGTCGAGGACCAAAAGGGGTCAAAAAGGGTTAAAAAATCAAAAGATCAAAAAAAGTTCTAAAAGGTTTTTTTTTAAAGCTTTACAAAGCTTTAAAAAGTTAAAAAAG